CCCTCTCCCGGGCATCCTCCCTGGGCTGCCGGGAGGCGGCGGCGGAGGAGGAGAAGGAAAGGGGGGTGAAGGCGGAGAGCAGGAACGCGAGAAGGTGGACCTGGATCCGTTTCTCCGGGCCAGGACCCGAGCGGCCCCAGCTACCGCTACCCGCCGGCGCCTTCAGCTATCCATCAGCCCTCCTGCGCCCACCCGCGACCCCAGGCTCTCTGCGCGTCGGGCCGGGGCCGGAGCGGCGCGGCCGGAGGTAAGAGCCAAGCTAGGGAGCCCAGGATGCGGCGCCGGGGACCCAGGGTTCTGGAGGCGGTGTGGGGCCCGGCTGGGTTTGGGAGCGGGGCCCGAGCACCCGGAACGCTGGGCTCGGCTCCCGCGGCGGCGGCGGCAGGAGCCTCCCGCGTCTGGACTCGCAAGGCTGCAGGAGCCCTTGCGCCTGCGCTGCTCCAAGGGGAAAAAAAAACTTCCTGCCCCCGGGTGTGTATGCACAGGGTCTGCCCTGGGCTAATGTCGCCGAGGTACGGGGTGCTGGGGACGAGTGTGACCCCCCCCCCAGGCCCCCGGACGCTGGGCCCGACAGCATGCGTCCCTCCCCAGGCCACCTCCTCTGAGCGGCCCAGGGCCCCGGCCGGGCTGGGGGCCAGGAGGAGGCACCGGAGGGTTGGACCCTGGGGGCAGCCACGCGCCCGGCCCTTTGGGGAGGTGAGCGCCAATATGCAGCGAGAAGCCAGGTGGGGGGTTCTGTCCCCTCTGGTCCTCAGACCCCTCATTTGGGGACCGGGTCTCTTCACTCAATCCCAAGTAACTTTCAAGGTAGAGGAGCGTGAAAACCATCGGGAGGAAACCCGTACAGACCTTGCTGTGACCCTCCTTCCCTTAATACCTCATGGGTGCCAGCGTGTTTGGGGTACGGAAAGAAGAGCTTACGAGGATGGTGAAGGGGCGAGGATGTGGTGTCGAGTGGGGAGGGGTTGTTTATGTGTGGGGTAGTGTGGACAGGGAGATGTGTAATATGGGAGTGTGGACGCGCGCCCCGACTGCCGCGGGAGGTGCCCGGTGGCAGAGGGCTCACGTCCGGGTCTCTGTGGCCTGGAGCGGGCCGAGAGCTCGAGGGTTATCTGCGGTCGCGGAGCGGGTGCAGGCGCTGGGCAGTGCCGGCCCCGAGCCCCGAGGGAGGGGCGCGCTTGCCCGGGGTCGGGAGAGCAGAGTCGAGAGCAGGGGTAGGTCCGAGGCAGGTCCGGTCTGCGTTGGCCCGGGAATGCGGGGATGCGCTGCCTGCCTGCAGCCAACGGTGACGGGGCTAAAGCGCGAGTCTCGGTTGCCTGGGTCCTCCAGATGAGAAGCTGGTTGTCTTTCCTGCACTCTGGAACCCAACAGCATACACGGTCAGTTGGCGGGTCCTCCTGCGGGTCCCTAGGGATGCTGACGGGTGAGGAGCCGCCGCCTTTGCCATTCCTGCCGCTCTGCAAACGCTCTCCTCCCTCCCTACGGTGCTTGCGCCGCGGCGCGCCCGGGGCGAATCGTGGACGCAGGTATTTATGTAGCATTAGGCGAGACCTCGGCGCTGGAGGGACCGGACCGCTGAGGATGCCGAGCTGCTGCTGCCCGCGAAACTTCCACCTCGTCAGCTTAGGGACGGTCAGGCTCCACTGCTGCAGGCTCCAGCCTCTCACCAGCCGAGCTATGCTGGGATTCGGACTCCTCTTGCAGTGACTGATCTGTCCTGGTTACAGCTGTATTTACCCTAATTTCAGTCGGTTTAAAGTTGTCTCTCTAGTCGCTACAGCGTTCCTTTTCTTGCCATGTGGTCTTATTTCTCACCCGGCCCTGGAAGGGCAAATTTAAGGAATTTTCAGTTTAGGATGAATGACAGCAGATTTAATTAGCCCACCTCATTTGTTAATGTTTTTAAAAATTATATTGGGGACTGTAGAACTACTTTTTCACTCTTTGGGGAAGGATGTGTGGGGATAAACAACTTTATAAATTGTTTATCCCTACTCTTGACCAAAACATTATCAGATAATACACAGGTGAATCCTTTAAAGGCTGGTTGATAAGCGTGTATTTGTGTAGTCACATATTCTAGGCATTTATACAAGAATGGAGCTGAGTGCCACTGGTGATTATAGTCTGCGTCCCAAACATTGTTCTGAGTGCACCTGGTTTATCATCCTGCTATAAATCAGGGAATAACTGGCATATGTGCCCTTAAACTCTATATGAATTTAATGTCATTTAAATTAATTTGTCAGCTGATGCATTTAACCAATTTTAATAACTTTTCTGCAGAAGCATCTTATAAACCGTATTTGTCCATGATTAAGAAAAACGTTTTCTTCTGTTCAGTCTCTCCATTTCTAGCACACTTAACAGAAATTTATAGGTCTCCAACTTTCATTTGCAAGCAACAATCCAAACGAAATACCTAGAGTTGTACTGAAATAAAATATCCTATGGTAGCCATGGTAACAAATAGATTAAGGGTTATTGGTTTTCATCTGTATGTGATGGGAGGGAGGAATCTAGTGTTGTGTCTTTTTAATTATGCTTCTAATGAGTGGTGGTCATACTTCAGGTACTCAGTGTGGGAGATAAGCGAGACCGAGAATTCAGTTTCGTGAGAGGTTTACTGGAACAAAGACTAGTAGAGCCCAGGAGAATGACTTCTGCTAACTGCAGCTCCTCATATCCAGGAAGCGAATGTATAAAACCGTTTTTGTTTTTCAAGTAGATGAGAATCGAGTTAGTCCCTTTAAGATTAAAATTTTATTATGTTTATAAGCTCTCACCAAAGGAACCTTTAAATCTAGCCCCTGTTTTCTAGGAATAAACATGTTAGAAGTGTGGATATTGGTGTGGATTGAGTATCACAGTTGTTATCAACACCTGTCAGTCTAAGTGAGGCATATGATTAGTCTATTCAAATCTTGCCTGTTTCAATATTCATGCATTTCCATGGTGATCCATTCCATTTTTGTTTACTTAGTCAACCTTATAAATCTTTGGCATCAATTTCAGTTGTACCATCTTTGTTTCTTTCATTTATCAATTGATTTGGCTGTAAATCATTCCCAGGTTGAAGGGTTTCTTTCTTTTTTTTTTTTTCCTTGCTAGTTCCCAAAAGTTTATATAGTATTCCTGGTTACACACAGATATAAAAGGGTTAAACTTTTTAATTCAAATAACACCACTGATGCTAATGTAGTTTTTTAGTATCTTATGTGATGTGTGTGTGTACATGGGTTTGGTTTTGTTTGTTTGTTTTTTTCCCTTCTTCTAGCAGGCTTATCCTGAAGCTTTCTCTCTTTATGGCCTGGAGATGTCAATCCAATCCAGCCGAATTGACTAAAGGCTTTCCTTTCTTCCTTCCTTTTCTTCTTTCATTCCTTCCTTCCTTCCTTCATTTTTCCCCCTACCCTGTTGTGGTTCAAGGATTCTTTATGTCTTCAGCTATATCTGGCTCAAACAGACTTCAGGACTTTGCATATTATAATAGGCTTGTCCTTCTATTAGGATCTTTTCTCTTCCAATAGTAGACAAAGACAGAAGGTTCTGGAGCATCCGAGGATTTTTCCAAGTACAATATACATTTCGTGGCAGCATATAGTGTCTCTAGGATCATTGTAACCTTGTAAGTTCACTGAACAGGCAGTTTTGCTTAAACGCAAGTGATGATTTTGCTCACCCGCTTTCAACTTTGCTTTCTAATGATGCAGTCCCATGCTAATCGCACCCGGTATATTTCAGAAATATCAAGGCGAGCATTAGCACACTACTGACTTATTACGATCAGGCGAAGTAATTGGAGCACTTAAGTTCAAAGTCAGATGGAGAAACGGAATTATAACCAATCTTGTGATTCTATAATCGGTCAACTAAGTGATTACTTGAGGGTAGGGGGAGGAATAAACATCACGAACAAGAAATCCAGCCTTTGGTTGCGGTAGGTGAGGATAAACCAAGGGAGAAACCACATAGGATGACTGGAGGATAAGAAAGTTCTTTGTGGACAGATAAATCACATGTAGACCCAAATGATTAGAAACCAGAAGAATGTAGTTTGTGCAGAAGATGATCATTTATTACTCAGGAAATCAGGATGTCATCTCCTAATATGCAA